GTCTTGCAAAGGTGCAAGATGAGCTGAGATCTCCAGGCAAGAGAGTTCTGCAGGGTAGAAATACAAACAGCACTGGTGCAGCTGGACAAGTGTTGCTGCTAGCAAGGGGGAAGATGTTGCTTTAGGGCTCCAAGTGTTTAAGTCAGCCCAAAACAGACCGTGGTATTTGCCATAGCACCTCTCACGCTCTCCCTCACCTCTGGGAAACACTGCAGACTGCCTGCTTCAAAACCTGAAAACATTTATCCTGTTCTCTTCATCATACCCTCACAGTCTCCCTCATTTCCTTTCAAAGGCTTTCAGTGAGAACACTTCAATGTATCTGGAGTTTCTCCAACATGGTATTCACATGCAAAAAGAAACACACACACATTTGAGCTTTGAAAGTTCTTGCTAGGAATGCAAACATTACATTGGCTTCACTGTCATTACACCACAGCTAGAAGACAGAACTGTAAAAATTCCCATCTCTCAGCATTTTTACTTTCTAATTCAGTATGTACAAACCAATTTTTTTAGCTGAGCTCCCATCCACCCCAATGAGACTTTTCCTGCATTCTTTGCAGCATCATTGGAATTTTTTCCTTTGATGTTTCCAATACCTCCTGAGCATTTAATGCGTTTTATTACTACATATAACTTCTTCCAGTTTGTATTAAAACATCTATGTTCATGTGATATCTATGTCATCTTCTTAATAACTAAAGACTAGAATTTAAAGGTAATAAAAATTTGAGAGTATGGTGTGTACTTTCTCTCTGTCCTCACCATGGCTTGCATGCAGCTGCAGTTTCTCACTGACTTTCAAAACAGACAGCTGAAAATGCCCAGCAGTGTACAACATGTGATGCCTGTTCAACCAGAGCAAAGAACAGCAATCAAGCTCTTGCATTTATTCTTGTTTTGAAAAAAAGTAACTCGCTTGGTCCAAACCTACAGGAACAGACCAGATCAATGCCTGAGGACAGTCAGAGAACAGAGCATTCAAGGACCAGGGAGAAAAAAGGAGTGAGAAAGAGAAGAAAAATCTGATTCCTTTCCAAAGTCGTTCTCATGATTTGCTATTTTTTTCTATGACCTCTTGAACTGAGGCTCCAAAACAGCACTCTCATCCAAACCACTCGTCATGGTTTCATCAGCCAATGAAAGTTTACTTGAAATTCAGACTGGACAATATCAAAATAGGTGCTACATTTGGTTTACTAATTTTGTTAATGTTATTTCTAGAGCAATCTCATTTCTGTAATGAGAAAAGAAGACATCACTTTAGCAGAAAACATGCAACAATAAAATGCTGATTAGAGAAAGACTGCTTTACAGTCTTTCTGTCTTAATGGAGACAGAAACAATTACAGAAGCATGCTCTATTATAAACTGTAATTATGCTGCTGCTTAAAAACAAGAAATAACAATATTTCAAAATGAAATATGTACTATACTACAATAATTGTGAAAGTAATGTTTTCCCCGACCTAAAAAGATAAACTGGATAAGCCATCCACTCAAAGGATTGTCCAAATCAAGTCATGAAACATGTCTGAGCATAAATTGGCAGGAGCAACATAAGAAACTTGCATATTGAAACTGAACAGGAGTTAAAAGGCATTCCTTTCAGCTTGATTACTGAAAATGAAAAGCACACATGTAAAAAGCACTGTAAGATAAAATCATATAGCCTGACAAATTTAGTATTTTCAAATAAACTGAAATTTTTCACTACAAGAACTTCTGCAGCAGGCTTAAACAATCTCTGCTGCCAACAACCTACTGCAAGCAAGAATAACTATTTTGTTCATCTTACACATGGAGGAAGCGCTAACATTTACCTATGTGCATTTTCATGCACAAAATGCACACTCAGTTTAAATATCGCATCTTTATGTATGGGAACAATTTAGGTGGTCAGAATTGGGTGGCCTATGAATTTTTTATCAGCCAGACTGAAGCTTGTCTCAGTACATAAAACATGCACGTCAAAGATTTATTTGTACTCTGGCACGCCGCACTGGAGGGAGACTCACTATGAACATCAAATACCTCATGGCAGAAGGGCACCTGCCTCTCACACTGCATTCACTGCCCTTAGTATTAAACCAGCCTAAGACCCTTGGACATGACAGCAGTAAACAAAAGTAGTTTTCCAGAGTTCAAAAGACAAACATTTATTATTTTCTCTCTTTTGATCACTGACCTAAATCTAAAGTATTGGGGGGAGGGGGGGGGAATAAAGCATATTGAGTAATTTAGTGATCAATTAAATGTATTTTCAAGTCATTTAGAGACTATTTGAGTAGTCAGCTTCTCAAAACTACTAGTGCTAGAAAGATTAATGTTGTAGACCACTTGAAAGCTGGCGCTCTAATTCTTCTCACAGTATAAACATTCATTTCCTATCCTGTTAATATGTGATTGATGCTGAACTACTCTAAATAAATTCTCTACCATATTATTCAATTAATATTTTCTACAGTTTAGAAATGGATGATTTAAACTGTGATGCTTCTTTTTCATGAATGCTTGCAATTCATGAAGCTGTGAAAATATTTGTTTATTATTCCTTGAGACGTAACATCAACCTCTTTACATTTCTGAATGAACAAATGGCTGAAAGCCACTAATGCAAGCATTACACTGCACACAGGTAACTCAGTGATCACTTTGTATTTAATCACTAATGCATCAGAGCAGCAGGCTGTGCCCCACATTGTTGCACAGAGAGGATGCTGAATTACTGCAGCACCACAAGCAGGCTGAGAACTGATGGGCACAGAACCACTGGGGTTGGAAGGCACTTCTGGGATGTCCACGGTAAGCTGCAGCAGGTTGCCCACCTCCACTCTCCTACAGGGATGGAGACTCCACAACTGCACTGAGCAACCTGCTTCAGTGTCAAATCATCCTCACACTGAAAAAAGTTATTCTTACATTCAGATGGTGTTTTCTGTGTTTCAGTTTGTGCTGAGACAATGAAAGTGAATGCATTAGGCACAGGTAAGGTGAAGATAGGTAGTACTTTAAAAAAAATATCCAAATACATACACAAAAAGTTGGTGTGTAAAAGAAAGTTATCATCCTCTCCTCTACTAAAATCCTGTTTTCAGCTTTTAAAACATTTCTAGAAAACAAATTATGCTGAGCTGATTGTCTTAAATACTTGTACGTAAGGACCCATGCATTATAGCTGTTGTATGGTAAGAGCAACAGAAGCTCATTGCAACTGCTATGAGAAAGGAACACCTTCATGAACAGGACTCCCAATGAAAAGCCAATGAAATTTCATTTTTAGGAGCATGGAAAAAATTCTCAACCATTCACAACCACAGATATGGGATAAGATGCTATTAAAAAAAGTGTCATTGTTAAGCAGTATTCTTTCCTTGCAGATACACCATTTTTCTTCCTCACAAATATTCCTAGATTTGGGGGATATTTATATCTTCTTAGTACCAGAAAGAAATACTCCCTATGTCTGTGTTATGTATGTGTTAGCATCTCAGGAAATCTAGATGTGTGGCGGGTATGGGTCAAGATCCTGGTTAACCTTCTTTTAATTTGAAAAATCCCTCATATGAACAAATTGAGCAATTTTGACATTACTTTCAGTCTGGACCTGGTGCTTAATACAGACAAGCTACAAAGGTCATGACCCACTGGTAAAGGTATCTTTTATTTTTAAGGCACATAACTGCTTTTGAAGCTGTGAAACAACAGCTGTTTGAATAAGAGAGCAATGAGATGCCTACATCCAGTATAGTCTTGAGTTTGTACTTGTAATCCCAGAAAAAACAAGTATTAGCAAGCTGTCAGTCTAGAATACTCATAAAGGTTACAGAGCACTGAGATCAAGATCTACTCAGGTATGTCAGTATCCTTGTATTTCACAATATAAATAAAATATACTAAAGAGATAATAAAGGCATAAAGTAAATGGCACCATATTCTCCACATCCCAAGGATCCAGGGCTCTGGCCCTCAGAACATAAGCATGGCTTGTGCTAAAATCTATGTATTAGCAACTGCCAACTCAAGAGGCCAGCACAACTTTGAAGCTTGTCTGTGGGTACCTCTACAGACCCCGACTGAAGACCCATCACCTTCACATGACCTACAAGTCAGGGTACATTCATAATACAGAATCCAACCCAGATTCTTATGCTGAGGCGTCTACCAAGTGGCTGAAGACCCAGATCCTGAGACAAAACTCTGGCATCCTCCTCAACAGGTCAGTATTAATCATCATCAACATGCTGCTCCCCTGCAGTATTTATTGTCCGGGAGTTTGCATCAAGAACAGGGACTAAGAAAGAAGAAATTGACCAATGTGTTTATTTCAAGCATTTCAAACTGTGCCTTGAACTTCCTAGCCAGGCATTATCTAAGATCCACGTTTTGGTTTGTTTTGTTTTTCCTTAACAGCATACTAGTACCATTTTTTGCTAAATAACTCCACATGACGCACACTTGTGTTTTATCTCAAGGTCACGGCCAGCGCAGACGGCGCAGCTGCAGCGGCTCAGGGAGCACTGGCAGGTAGCAAAGGTCCCGGGCCTCCCCGCGGGGACTCCGGGGCCACAGCACACCTGCGGCCCACGGGCACGGCACCGAGCTCGCTAGCCGCCAGAATTATAAACACGACGCGGGTTTTTGGACCACTGAAGAAAATTAAGTCGTTTCAAAGAAGAAGTTATTAAGTGAAACTAACGACACGGCCCGGCACAGGGTTAGGGAGCCCACGGAGGAGGGGACCTGGTGGCGGCACACGGCAGTGCTGGCTGAGGAGCCGTGCGGAGTGACCTGTCCCCGTCCTGCGGGACCGGGCTCCGTCCGGCACCGCGGCCCGCCCTCAGCCCACCACAGCCTCCTCCCTCCCCGCGGCCCCATCCCGAGGGGTCACCCCGGGGACTGAGGCCTGGAATTCGGCGCCGCCGCCGCCCTCACCCCGCGGCTCGGAGCGCGCTGCCCGGCACGGCCCCGGCGTCCCGCCCGCCCCCGCCCCTCACCGGCCAGCTGAGTCACGAAGGCCTCGGCCACCAGCGACATGTCGGGAGGCCGAGGGCACGCACAGGAACTGGGCGCCGTGCGGCCGGAGGGGCAGCGACTGCATCCGGGGCCGGGGCGGGGCCCGCCGCTCCCCCGCCCGCGGCACGCCGCCGGGGCCTGGCGGGCGTGGGTGCGGAGCAGCGGTGCTCCGAGGGGAATTTGCCAGCACCGCGGTCTGGGAGCGACAGCCGCTCCCCTCTGTTGTCCCAGCCGGAGGGCAAACCCCCGGGAACTCCCGGCTGGGCACTGCCCGCTCAGCCCCTGCGCCCTTAGACACAAGGGAACGGAAATCCCAAAGGCTTCCCGAAGCGTCTCGGGGATTATGGGTTAGATCCAAAGGGTACAGCCGCCTTTTCTTCGTCCCAAAGCGGGAGTCTTAATCCCAGAAGACAAACCCTGCTTTTTGGAATGTACACCTTGCCTCTAAGCAGCCATAAATTTCTTGGTCTTAATTCTATAATACTAAGACTACTTAAGTGTTGGAAAATGCTATAAAATTACATACCCAGTATGTTGATTGCAGAGAAGATAAAGGATATGTGAATTACTTGTTCCATTATCTTGCAGTCCCTTGTGATCCTCATTTCTTTAGCCATACTTTAATAAGAATTAGAATACCTCATTTTATCAAGTATGACTTACTCTACTGTGAAGGACAGCACAACATTTCGATCTTGCAAAATCTTAAAATATTTTATGTACAGAAGACATGGCATATAAACATGTATTCATGTTTGTAAAGTAATGTGAAACCCCTCTGGTGACACTATTGAATCATTCTTCACATGAATATATTGAGTTTATTCTTCACGTGGTAGTGGAAGCATGCTATTAGAGCAGTAGCAACAGAAGAGCCAGTAGATATATTGGAACAATGGTCTGAGGACAGTGATGTGGAAGAGAGCTGATTATCCTTAAATGCTGATGAAAGCTTAATTTCTAATTACAGCTGTAAGTTGAATACCATTGAAATTACATAAACTCTGAGAAGTCTTGAGAAGCTGAGTAGCTTTGTATTAAAAGATTGCAAGATTCTAAATTAAGCTGGTTTGTGCTATTTGAGTCCTTTCATCACCAGCTGTACTTAGAATGCTAAAAAACAAGCCATGGGGCAAAAGACTGAGTTTGAATTAGGGATAAGCTAAGCCAAATCCATATATTAGCAGCCAATTAAAAAATGTTTCTTTGTAGAGCTCAGTTTGATGCAAAGAAGTTATCTGCAGAAATGGAGGTGGATGTTGTAAACTAAATCAAGGAACAAAAATTAGGAAGTTGTCTAGCAAGTATGAACAAATAAATATCAGCAGAAATCTGCTGCCAAATCCAAACAATTAGCCAAAACAGGAGGAAAACTGAGTGGTGCTTAGGCCATGCCTCCAACAAGTGGCGGAACACAGATGCTCAGGCTTCTGTCTCTGGGACAGGAGATTGGGGCAGTAGTTTTGTTTCCACATTCCCAGTCCTCCTCTGTGCTCCCACTGAAAGGACTGTTTTAGCAGAGTACCTTGTAGGAAATCCTGCAGGGAGATCTCCAAGGACAATAGATGGGAGCAATGAAACTAACTGCATCCCCACCTTCAACTTTATTCAATAGGCCTCTCTCCTCCAGCTTTCCAAGGAAATGCATCATTCCCTCGAGCCTGGCTTCCTGCACGATCTGCACGTGAATTGTTTCTTCAGATGGCCTTGCCATTAACAAACTTCTTTCTGGTAATTCTTGCTCCATGCCATGGAAAGCTCCCTAGCTTCCCTGGATTTTAAAGGCTTCATAGCAGATCTCTAGGTGCTGGTCCCTCTCATTGCAGTGCAGAGAAGGATGTGCTTTCAGATGGGTTTTCAAGGGAAACTAAAAGCAGAATTTCACTGTCCCTTGGGCTTTGCATTTCAGAAGGTCAGACCTTTTTGAGGGGTGCTTACACGGGCATGCCAAAAAGATGGAGTTCAGTTTTCTCACAGCCCATCTCTGCACTGGGCTGCCTTTACCCTGCAAGGTATTTATTAATTGCTAGGGTTAAACTGTCCACGGGTGAAACAGGACTAGGACACATATACATACATTACATTTTAAATGGAATGGAGCTTGAATGGGATTCATATTCTGCCTAGGAAAAAACAGCTGTTCTTATTAGTTCCCTTAATATTATTTAGACAACTTTTAACATCTCTTGTTCTCTGATAATATTTTACAAAATGTATGGCTAGCAATAGTGCATATCTTTATCTGCAGTATGAGTCCTTTGCAAATACAATTGTTAGGAATATTTTACAAAAGGAATTGTGAGATCACAACAAAAGGCTTTTGGTCTTGTGCATTTTTTCAAACTGTTTGCTTTGTAACACTATTGTTGGCCATTCAAATTACAGTCTAGCTAAACATATGATGACAGTAGGTAAGATTAAACAAATCACCAGAAAATGAAGACAATTAAATTAGTTTCTTCAAAACTGAGAATGCTGTTAGGTATCATGTGCAGTTCTCAAGTTCATGAAGCACATTATGGGCTAAGTCCAGTTTAAGGACGATACAAGAGTATTGTATCACCACAACACTGATAACAAATATTCCTCTAAAGAGAACTCTTGAGGACACTGCAGAATTGATCTGTGTTGCAGTATAACCTTTCTTCATCCCAAGACAAGAAGCTCGGGCCGCATGCTGCTCAACAGACCTCATCAGAGCACTTTCTTAGTGCACAGCTGGGGATGTCTGCCCAAAACACTGCTCTGTATTTCCACCGAGCAGGTCTCTAACAAGGCAGGCTTTTCCAAGACACAGGAGGAGTGCTGAGAGTCATAGATTTAATTAGCAATGGTTCTGTCAAAGAGAACTGTGCAGAAATTTTGTGTATGGGTGAAGTGTCTGAAGACTGCTTGTGTGGTACAGCTGGAGTTTTGAGAAAAGGCCAAGCAGTAGAGAGACATGGAGGAAAAAAACCAACACTGAAATGCCTGCTCCTTGCCTGGCCCACAGCCAGGCTGCCTCTCTGGTGTAACTTAGGGCATCCTGGGGGCTGCTCAGCATTATGCTGCCTGTCAGTGTCTTTAAAGAGCTATTATGGCTGCTGGAAGTCTCTACAATGAAGGAAGACTTGAGTAAGTCCTTCTCTGCCAACACATCCAGTGCCAGGCAGCAGCAGGAGGGTGTTTTTAGCATGACTTCATGCCAGAGGTTCTCTGTACACTAAACAGTCTGGCAAAGTACACAGACCAACAAAAACAGATTAATCCGACTAGCATGATCAAATGGATCTAATAGGACATTTGGTATACTTTTAAGGCAAATGTTTGCCTATCAACCATTTCATTCAATCTATTGTTCAGTATAAAGACTGGTGCCAAAACTACTCAAGTATGGGCCACAGTTTTTTTCAGTTACACACATTGTCTTGTAAGTTTACTAAGGAGATACCATTTTATATGGAACCTGAACTCAAAGTTGAGGTCAAACTCACCTCTGTAGCTCGATTGCACTTCCTTGGGAAGCTGACATGTATGTTTTGTGGTAGTGTCCCTGATGGAGTAAGAAATAAAGTTGGGTTTATGAAAGTTCAGGTGTCCTTACAATAGATTTTCATACTAATAAAATTAATTGCACGCTGCTGACAGTATTCTCTTATTTTCATAATCAGGTAGGCTCAAAAGGGTCTAATTGTTGTGTAAACAAGATAACGTATGATTTCTAGGAACATATGTCTATAAAAATGCAATAGTCAGAGTATTAACATTAATCACTCCACACTTAAGGAGGATACTGCACACTTAATTGACAAACAAAATAATGCTGATGCATTTTCCAGTAACCTACATGAAGATAGGAAGGGTTTATTAGAGTTTTAAGAGATACAAAAATAGCATTTCTGAAAGCAAACAGGGAATCACAAACTGTATGAAAGCCATTTGATTAATAATTTTCTTCTCCTTTTCTCCCCTCCTTTTCTGCATTCTTTTATTCAGCAGGGTGAGATTTTTCAGGGGTGCCAGACCTACTTTAGCACATCTGTCATCCCTGCAGCTGCACTGAGCAGACATCAAAGCAGCTGTGCAGAAACCCAAACTTCAATATTTTATTCACTGAAGGCGTTACCATCCCCTAGGCTCTTGCATATCCCTGTCATTCCCAGCAGCTGCTGAGGAAGCTTGCTCTGAGCTCTGAAATAGCTGAGATCTTGAAGTCAGACCTTGATCTTCCCAGCTTTATCTGAACTTTCCCGGAAGAGCTCTGCAGGTGGGCAGGGCACAGCCTCTACAGCCCTTCCCAGTGCTCTCAGCCCAGGGCATCAGGCACCTCCACAGGGACAGGGACATCAGCTCATAGGTCAGAGTCCATATAAGGAGGAGCCATGGGTATGCAAATGACCTGGACTGAGCTTTGAATAAATCCACTGGGCCACTGGAGGGGAGGGTGTCCCAGCTGGGGCCCAGGACCATGACAGTGTCTCAACTGCCCATGGAGCTTATTTCTCCATGCAAGTGGTGGATTTACAGCAACACGTTTCACACAGTTTATGCTTTATGGGATCAGAATTGGCTTTTAAACAAAATCTCAGATCAGAGGGACCTGCAAGCAGGAGCTTCCAGAAGGGAGACAACAGCATTGTCCTTGTTTCCCTGCCTGTGCTACTGCACAGTCCATTCTGCCTTCCTCTACTCTTCCTGTCAGGCTCTGCCTCTGGTTTCCTTGGTTAACCTGTGTTAACAGGCTGCTTTCATACTTGTCTATCTTTTTTAATCCCTAGTTGACCAACAAGTCTTTTTTAAAGCATGGATCTGGACTGCGTTGTCAAAATGGCACAAATGTCAAAGCAATAATCATGATTCCAGCTTGCAGTAGCAATGTCTGTAAAGGTTAATCCTGATATTTGTGTAGCTCATACTGTAGCAAAATCCAGATCCATCTGTTAATGAAAATAAGAATAATGATTCACAGTCTGACTGTAGGCACTGGTTAAGCAAGTCTTCTCAAACTCTACAGATGTTATCTGGAAAATTAAGGAGCTGCAATTGAATTCAGTTTCTGGACAAGCATGGCAAATACTGAGGAGGTTTATTAA